TCTCAGTTTATGCTTGTTCACAAAGTGTTTAGGTAGGTCTCTATTTTTTTTTAATGTAGGACTACTGCTATTTATTCAACCACTGATTAGACAGATTGAATGGGCATTGAACTCCACCTTACTTTTTTTTCATTTTTTGTAATTTTATTTAATGAATCACTTTGAGAGCAGTTACAAAGCTTTCAGGTTTCAGTCTTGAGAGTCTTCTTCATTGTGCATTTCATTCTACAATGAAACACCCATACCTTCACTAGTGCCCATTCTCCACCACCAAAAACCCCAGTATACCCCCATCCTACACCCTTCCCCTACATGTGGGGGAAGATGATTTCCACTTTACTCTCTCTCTCTCTCTGCTTTGATCACATTCAATATTTTGACACCAGACCCACCATTATTAAATATAGGATTTTACCCCACCACGCAGATCTGCTGAAAAGGCAACAGTAGACAATTTGTTTTCTATTGCTGGTTAAGAATAACATATGATGTCGTGTGACTGCAGTAGTGTCCATGTGATTTTGAAATTTTAACACTTAAATCTGGAGGGATTTCTGCCAAAACCTGCTGGGTTCCGAGATTTATTCCTGAGTCTCTGGGATCATGGCTATTAAGCAGCTTGATCAGGAACCAGAAAGGCCATTTGTGGGCAGCGACTTGGGGTATCGTTGAAGTGGGGGGAAAAGGGCCTGCTCCACCCCACCCTGTGAGGCCCTGCGTGCCTCGTCACTGAGGGCCCAAACCTGACTGTCCAATGGTCTCTGGAGGATGGCGGACACTGAGCCGCCAAAGGAGAGCAGGCAGAGGCACAGCACCCTTTCCCCTTTGGGGTGGCCCGGCAACTGTAACCTATTGCATGGTCCAATGCATTTCTGCCAAAAGCCGCTGGGTTTTGAGATTTGTTTCTGAGTCTCTGGGATCATGGCCATTAAGTAGCTTGATCAGGAGCCAAAGAGGCCATTTGTGGGCAGCGAGTCTGGGTTTTGTTGGGGTGGGGAGGAAAGGACTGACTCCACCCCCATCCTGTGAGGCCCCACGTGTCTCATCACTGTAGGCCCAAACCTGACTGTCCAGTGGCCTCTGAAGTATGGTGGCCACTGGGCCACCAGGGGGGGAGCAAGCGAAGGCATAGCATTCTTTCCCCCTGGGGTCGCCCGGCGACAGTAACCTACTGCGTGGTCCGGATGCATTTCTGCCAAAAGACGCTGGGTTTCAAGATTTGTTTCTGAGTCTTTGGGATCATGGCCGTTAAGCAGCTTGATCAGGAGCCAGAGAGGCCATTCGTGTGCGGCGACTTGAGGTCTCATTGGGATGGGAGGAGGATAGGCTTCACTCCCATCCGATGAGGCTCCACGTGACTCGTCACTGGAGGCTCAAACATGACTGTCCAGTGGCCTCTGGAGGATGGCAGCCACCGGGCTGCCAGGGGAACAGGCCAAAGTACGAAACTTATTCCTGTCTAAGGTGGCTCGGCACCGGTAAACTACTGCAGGGACCGGATACAGTTCTGCCAAAAGCCATTGGGTTTCGAGATTTGTTTCTGAGTCTTTGGGATCTTGGCCATTAAGCAGTTAGATCAGGAACCAGAGAGGCCTTGCCTTTAGGTAGGTCTCTAGGAGAATAAGGATACATGCCTAATATATACTCAGACTAGAAAATTTCTTCTGCTATACTATTGTCCAACATGTGTCTCGAAATTAACCCTCATTCAGGGCTGAACAAAGAGATTCAACTCCTCTATGAGTAGAATTAAAATGCCGTATGTTCATTCTGTGTCTGTCTCTCTCGTTCTGGTGAACTTGATACACAGCATGATACACTCTAGATTCACCAAAATGACAACTAAGCTTTAGTAGGAAGCATACCAGTACGTGGATATGAAGGGAATATAGTGTGTGTATGTGCGTGTGTGTGTGTGTGTGTGTGTGCATGTGTGTGTGTGTGTGTGTGTGTGTGTTTGAGTACGTGGTGGGGAAGGGAGGTGTTACTGGAAAAATGGTGGAGGGCAGCTGATACTCCAGTGAAAGGACTGGTTCTGGAATATTTTATGCATGAAATTGTCCATTATCAGTAATACACATCATGGTGCCTAACAAAACTTTCATTTTAAAATGTCATATGGTGAGGTTGGATAGAGAGCACCATAGTACAGCAGGTAAGGCATCTGCCTTTCGTACAACTGACCTGGGTTTGCCCTCTAATGCCCTAGTTGGTCCCCTTAACACCACCAAATAGTGATCTGTGAGCACAAAACTAGGAGTAAATTATAGCACTGCCAGGTATGCACCCCTCAACAACAACAATAACAACAACAAGAAGTATTGCATAATTAGTGAATCCTGGGAGGAAATAACCAGTTCTTTTTTTGTCAGAAAAACTTAAGAGGCTCTTTAGTATATAGACAATATACTTGTAGATCTCGATGATTTATAGTCATTTTTACTGCCACACCTTCATCTATGCATTGTTTATTTCTGCATCTTTATCTTATTTTTCTAATGACTTTAACTTACATATTAAGTCAGTATCCCTTCTGTAGTAATGATTCATTAAGTCTAGGCTACATAGTTTTCCCGATTTTGTACTCTCATATTATTTATCTAGTTATTCATATCAATATATATTGCACTTTTCCAGTACTGAAAGACCTACACAGTTGAGGATACTAAAGGGATTTTCATCTATTTATTTCTACAATACAAGGTAATTTCTACACCAAGAAAGTATTGAAAATTTATTAACCAATATTTGTAATAATTGGAAATTCAAACATATTGTCAACATAATAAAGGATTACATTTATTTTTAGGTATAAATTGAAATTCTGTCATCCAACTCCCAAATGTGTGAGATTTCATGAAATGAGCCTAAATAGTCATAGCTAGCTAATAACTTCTCCAAAAGATAAGATTGGATCCTTAATGCTATCTACTAATTCAGACACCGTAACTTATCTGGTGTGTTAAAAAAGTAATGGATCTGGCAATCAGTCCCGAGGATTTCATTTTTCACCTCTCCATGAGGCTTAGCTACAATTTACTGCTAGCATATATATTTTAGACTGCAATCAGTTGACTAGTGAGGTTGGCACTTAGTCTAGCATTTTGCTCATTAACTTTTTCTATGATAGACTGTCAAATGTCCGATCAGAACTCTTGTTAAATTACATCTACTTGTTCACCCTAATATAATTACTTGGTCTCTGCCAGGGCTAACTACAATTGTCTGATAAGACCCAATTTTCCTTTTAGAAACCTAAGATGCAATTTCCTCCTTTTTCCCCAAATGAGTCAAATTGTCTGTTCCATTTAAAGGACTTCAAATGTGGGGCTGTTTCAATTCAGGTACTTATCTTCTTAACTTTTGTACATAACACAGAGATAATATTCTATCTAGTATGATTATCCTACACCTTCCCCAAATTGCCTGTCATTCTCTCATCAGTGATTTAATAGCTTTTAATTAGAGACCAAAGAGTTCAATAAAGTTCAGTAAAGTCACTTTGCTTCAACTCTCAAAACAAAATACATCGCATCCTCACATCTGACATATAATTTTACTATATGTTTTGATGTGACATGATTTCTCACTTCAAATTTCTCACAAAAGTAGACTCAGTTTGAATTCAGAAAAGAAATATTTGATGTCATATACATATATATGTATGTGTGTCTTTGTACACATACATTTACTACTTTTCTTCTTTTCTTCATTACTTTGCAAATGTTTCAGGGTCAGCTTTACAATAAGCTAATTATAAAACTTGTTAATAACATTAAAGTTCACACACTTTTCCCCTGTGGATAAAATAGTCATCATTTATGTACATTTTTCATCTTCCATACCTTCTCTTCTATACTTTTTGATTTTTTATATTTCACATTAATTCATTTTTTTATTTCTCAAGACTATTGTGCATTAGTATCAAACTTCTCTTGCATTTACAGCATGAGAGCTTTCCTATACATTTACAAGAAACAAAAGTGCCTAACATTTCTGAGTCCTATCAACTATATAGTAGCTCTCTCTACTGCAATAACCATTATTGCTTCATGCAGGTTGGAGAGTGGGTATCATCATACATTAGATAATGTTTAATATTAGAATGTTTTGTTATTAAATTAGGTTCAAGACTGGGGATGGCTAATTAATTTGTGTGACCCTGAGAAAGTTATACTCTTTCCAGGTTTCCTTTTCTGCTTTGGTAAACTAAATATATAGTCAATGTGGAGGAGACAATCTCATTTATGCTGTGACTCAGTTAAGTTGAGTATTAGTATCAGAATTCATTAGTATTAGAAAGACAAATATGAAGCTTACAATATTCTCTGTGGTTTAAATGACAAAAATTCATTTACTCATTGTTCTGGGGACTATAGTAGGATATTAGGTGTAGCAAGTCGGGGTGTGGTTTTTTTTTGTCATTTTTTTTTCCTCAATGGCCTACAAATGTTAGTATTCTGTCTTCACATAGTTTTTTATCTGTGCTGTTCTGGTCCTAATCTTCTCTTATAAATATTTCAATAGTATGGATTACAGTCCACCTTTAGGAATTAACTTTAGCTTAATTAGGTCTTTTAATATCCTATCTCCAAATAAAGCAATATTCTAAGGTAATCTAATGAATTGTTTTACAACATGTTTTTGTTTAGTTTTTAGTTTTAGGTTTCTTCCTAGCAATAAATTAGGATTCTTTTTAGGATTGTGCAGATTATGATATTGCCTTATATCTTTAAATAAAATTTTGTAGTATTTATGTGTTTTAGTTCACTTAATGTTATCTTCTTAAAAGGTATTTAAGATTCTGGTTATTTTCCTTTAATCAGCAATGTGAATGAAAAGTCTTATATATATTATTGTATACCTAAAGCAGATAGCACTAGATCAAATAAAGGGCACCATATTGCATTTGATAGATACTGTCAAAATTTATTTAATACAAAGTTTTTATGTTGAAATTTTATATATGATTTTAAAATATTTTACAAAGTATAAAAATAATCCTTCAATTCCATTTACTATTGGATCTGAATACAGGTCTTTGTGGTCATTAATGGAGGAACAGTAATACTGAAACTAGCTTCACAGTCTCAGAGTCAATCATGAGCACATGGCTAGTTTCAAACAAGGCTAAATGAAGAAAAAAGAAAAGAAAAACAAGTAAAAGAGAGAAAAATGAAAGGTCTGAAAATATTTATTTACTTTCTCATCAATATCTGATATAAGCTATCTTTTAAACACCTATTAATGTAATGATTCAAAATCTTTGTATTAACTGGTTCAATGATTTAATATAAAGTTATTTTCTTCACTAATTCATTGGCCATAGTTGTTGACTCAACTTGCATCCTAATTCTCTCTACTTTATCATTGACACTAGCACTGTAGCACTGTCCTCCAGTTGTTCATCAATTTGCTCTAGCGGGCCCAGTAACATCTTTATTGTGAGTCTTGTTGTTACTGTGTTTGGCATATCAAATATTTGCCAGGTTTTGTCATGCAGGCGAGATGCTCTCTGTAGCTTGCCAGGCTCTCCTAGAGGGGCGGGGGAATCAAACTCGGGTAGGCCAGATCAGCCACATGCAAGGCAAATTGACACTAACTCCAGAAATAATATATTATACCTGCCTTTTTATTAAAGATTTTGGATATATTTGACCTTAGTACTGTAACAAATGCACATTTCATCGTGGGAGACTTTTAAAATACATCATGTGTATTTTATTTAGTGCTATGTAAAATAATACTTGGGATATTATATTATTGCTATAATTGTTACAGTAAATTGTTATAAAATAATAAAAAAGACTGAGATAGAAACATGCAAAACTATTAGATTTTCAATATGAATCACTATATTATATAACAATTTAAAAAATAGTTTAACCCTAAAAAAATTTCTTCTTGTTATTTTTTCAGACCTTTGAAGAATTAAAACATCTTTACTGTTTCATAAAGATTCTTATTATATGAGTAGGAAATTAGAAGTTTAGGTATTTTTATATCCATACATTTGGAAAATGCGCATTAAAAAACCTAAAAGTCCTTTTTAGAGGTAAGCTATATTTCTAAAGGAGAACATCTAGAAATCAAACCATATCTCCCGCGTACATGCAAATATTCACACTCATATATGTATGGATTATTAAGAACAAAAAAGACAATCTTCTATTATGTTAAAAGTGACTCAACATAAGTCTTTATATGAATAGTAACTTTTCTGAAATTAAGGTTGGAACCAAATTAAAACAATTCAAAATGTTGATGATGGGTTCAATAATTTTAATGTTACATGTTACATTTTATATATTTGAAACATATTATTGGAATTAAAATAATCAGAAATTTTATAGTAAAATATTGCGAGTTTTTCATAAGAAACAATATTAAATAAGAAACAAAATAAATTTCAAAATGGTTAGTCTGAAAGAGGAATTAGACTAGACAATATTTTAGAAAATATTACACCCTGGAGAAGAAAACATTGCTTGGATTACTACTATGTTAGCTGAGGTATCATTCCTTTACATAGGTAGGTTCAAACCCTTCCTGGTGCCTGCAGGAATCAGTATATATGTCGGACCTTCACCCATATATCCTTATAGGACTTAAGGGATGAAATACTTAGGGAAAGATATTGAAGGCAGATAAGGGGACTACGGTAATAAATTTGGGGGAAATAATAAGACTAAGGAGAAATTGCCCAGCACTGAAGTAGCCCAAAAGCACAAAGAGCACATCCCTGTTGAAATGAAAATATTGAGTTCTTTAGTAATAGGGAAAATGAAACATTTCCTACCAGCAGAACTGAGGTACCACCCCGAGAAGAAAAGGCACCTCAGAAAAGGAGACACTTCAAGAGAATCTCAAGATTATGATATGAATATGAGAAAACATTAAAATTTTAAGACTGTGCACTTGTAAAAACATCGATATTATTTTTTTCTATATGCACAGAACTCCAGAACATGGTAGTTTGTAAGAAGCCCTACCATAAAACCAACTTTAAAGACATGCTGTCTTCATTTGTTTCCCTGAAGACTGGCCTGCATTTTGACCTGAGATCGTATTGCCTTTCTTTTATTTTATAGCTCATTCTCCACTTTGGCGATCGGCCTCCATCTCAACCTGAGTTGTCTGTCCTTGACATTTTTTTCCTCTGGAGAAGATCTTATTCTCTATTGAATAGTATAACCCTCACTTTCTCTCGCCTTTCAAAATTCTAAGTATATTTTTATAAATAAAGTTAACTTAAACACAAAAGAAAGAAACAAATGGAAATACTATGTAAACCAGCAATACTGTAGGCCTGTAATCAAATTATACAAAACCACACTAATTCCGAAGGATCGTTACATGTCAATGTTCATAACAGCATTAGATATACACAATAACCCAAAGAGTCAATCCTAAGCAACAATGAACAACAAAATGGTGTGCTATATATATACTCAAAGTAATACTATTCAGATATTTAAAAAGATAAAATCATGTGATCACATGGATGGGATCTGTGGTGATTATGCTAATTGAAATAAGAGAGTGAAAGACAAATGCTGTATTGAAGGGTAGACAGACGGTAGAAGGAGTCACTTGACAATATGGCTGCATTAGGACATTAGTAGTGGAGGTAGTGAGATTTAAGCAATTACTGTGGTGTGAAACTATACTCCTAAAGCTTTATAGTATTGTAATCCATTAGAAAGTCAATAAAAAAATTAAGGAAAAATTAGCAACCATTTCTCAAAGCTATTACCTGGAAAATTCAAACTGATTAGTCTAGATTTTTTTAATCCAAAGAGAAAAATACTAGGATAATCCAAAGAAAAAATAATATGCAGAAAGTGTAAAGAATTAGAATGATGAAAAAAATTTATTCCATCCGTTGAAAGACAACTCTTTTAATCTACTTCAACCAGTGTCATACACGCATGAATCCCAATTTGGAGAATTCATATTACATCACCAAACTAATAACTTAAGTTCCTGGAAATACCCACTTCCAATAAAAAAAAACATGAGATTTTTAAGATGAGAAATGCAGTATTCCGTGGGTATGTGCTTTTAGTCAATTTATTCAGTTTGTTTTTTATTTCGAAAAACTGAGGAGATTTGTAAAATATGCCCTTTTCATCCCAATGAATTATGTCTATGAGCTATGATGGATTGATGTTCATCATTTGAAAAACACAGTTATATTCTGATGTTTTTGACAGTGAGCAGCTATTTCTCTTTTACAAAATGTTTGATAAAAATGTACTCCTGATCACAATCGAGTTTCCCAGGTAAAAAACATTATTAAATAAATATCAATAGAAACAAATTGTCCCAGGCACCTCTGGGTTATTTACAGTAAATTAAGAGACAGGAATAATTTAATATGTGGTTAAATTTATGACATGACTTAACTTGTGAAAAGATATAGTGTTCATGTGTTTTTATACGTATGTAGAAAGAAGAGAGAAAGGGAAAGAGAAAAAAGAAGAAGGAGCCTTCCTCTATCTCATATAATAAAACCAGATATTGATAATATTACTGTCTGCTATATGCAATTACAAGTTTTATGGAAGAGAGACACTTTGAAATATTTTAATTAAAATAACTGCTTTTTATTGATTTTGTTTTGTGTTTGAACAGACTGAGATATATTTGAACAAACAAGAGCAAAATATCAATTTTGCATTACTGAGGATTTTCATGTCAGTAGATCTTTTTATGTAATTTCTTAATTTTATTACAATAGCAATCATAGGAATTTGACATATTTTGTAAATGAGAAAATTGGGACAAGAGTGGATTAATTTATTTTTTGGGGGGGTTGTATAGCAAACAATGGTTGGTGATTTTTCCATTTAAATAGTTGTTTACAAGTACAAAGTCTAATATCTGTCTATTAAATAAGTTTACAAATTTATTTATGAGAAGAAAATGCACTACTTAATGTAGAGAATTGTTTATTTTTTACAAGCTCCCCTGCTAAGACCAACAATTAGATTGGACTACATATTAATTATGTGCAATTAAATCCTGTTTTAATGTTTCTATTCTGACTGTAGAACTATTGCATAATTTTCTTATCTGGACAATTTAGGGTTCTATTAAATGCTCTATTGACTAGCAGTTAGAAGATAACCAATTTTCTGCACAAGATGACTGTGATTCGTGACAATTTATATTTAATTCATATATATATATCTTTAGTTCCTAGTCAATTAATTTGCTTCCATTGTATTATTGATACTGTAAAGCACTTTCCCAAATCTAGTGTTGAGAAATGCAGTTAATTGAGTGGTACTCACCTTTCAAATATATATATACATATATCTATTTATCTATATATATCTACAAGATCTAATCCTCATAAATATGACTTTCCTTGGAAATGGCATCTTTGCTGATATAATTAGACTTAATTCCAATAATGATCTTAATTTTTTGAGATCATATCAGGTCTATAGTGTACCCTATTTGGTGATTGGTATGGTTGTAAAAAAAGGATGAAAATATATTGAGAGAAGGAAGATAATGTGAAGATGGAAACTTTCATAAGTCAAGACATCACAAGAATTCCCAGCAACCTCCGGAAGCTAGGAGAGAGGTATGGAATGTATGCTCATCACCTGTAGAAGAAACCAATCCTGAGGATGTTGCTTTGATTTTAGACTTCTAGCATCCTAAACAGTGAAAAATAAAATACTGCTATAATAAGTCACCAAATTTGTAGGAATAAGTTATGACAACACTAAAGAATGAATACAGGCATAGTAACACTTTTTTGAAGAAATATTTATCTGTACATTTCCCAATTGTTTTCAATGACAGATAGTACATTATTTCTGTCTATTCAAATTGCTATTTCAAATTAGATAAGATTTATAAAAATGGCTCTCTTGCTTAAAGAAACTAACTTTAGACAAATACAATAACTTTTATGACATGATTGAAGTTATGAGTATAAAACAAAACAAAATTCTTCAGTGACAAAATTAATATAAGTGCAAGTCTGTTATGACTAGATAAGTATTGTTTTTATTATCTATGCTAATATCAAAAATTACAAAATTCATTGAAAATTTCTGCAATAGTTTCAGTAGGGCCCGGAGTGATAGCACAGTAGGGCATTTGCCTTG